GGCCCAGATAAAGTGGGCCAGGCCCTGATTGGTGCCTGGCCCACTTCAATTTTACTAGTGTAAATGGAATAAAGCGAGCCAATTTAATCGGGGCCTAGCACCGCAATTAGAGGTTCCTGGCCCACTTCAATTTTACTAGTGTAAAACGAATGCGTGCCTGGCTCCTTTTAAAAATTCTTCTGCGCATGTGCAGGGTTTACAAATTCCGTACTGGCGGCCATTATAAATCTCGAAAATTATTGTTATTGTCCGCCATTTTGACTCCTCGTGGACCTTTTGTAATCTTTTTGATTAGAGAGCACACACTTATTTCCGTTTAAAGTGGGCCTGGCCCAGATCTCAAAACGCCAGTGTAAACAGACATTTTGATCAGAGCCTGGCACCGATCCAGGCCAGGCTCTCTTTATCGGGGCCTAGTGTAAAAAGGGTATATGTCTCTTTTTGTCTGTAGTTAGTCTTTTTGTACCTTTGTAAATTTTTGACCTACCAAAATGTGATATTTCTATGTTTAATGCTTTTAATTGAAATTAATGAAAATGAAACTTTTTGTGCATAATTTAGTAGACTAATTTGATATTGTACATCATATAACATTTGTAATAATAATAGATTTTTTTTTTGTTCATGGCATAATGAATGTCATGAGAGACTACAGTAAATAGTTTTGTTTCACATACAAGTTCCTAACAAAGAATATGACAGAAATAAGACTTCTGAAATTGCATTTTCAAAATTTTGAATATTTCTATGGCTATTAATGCTACTCTTTGATTATTGTGAAATACAATCCATGACACCATCAGTCCACTTAAATAATGTTTTCACTTCAAACAAATATTTTTTTCGAAAAATACGTGTATATCTACTAAAATAAGTTTATAAACAATTAATGAATGAACAGATTCTTTACAAATTTTTTTAATCAAAAAATTTATTCATGGCAAAAGAACAAGGTGTAAGTAGTTCAATTTTTGATTAAATGTGTATATTTGGAAAAATAATATATTTTATATATAAGATAGAAATATAAAAATGGTGTATATATATTTTTAATTGTCTATATATTATGATGTTATTGTTATTTATATTAACTATATGTATTTATTTCCAAAATCTGATCAATTTTATTATTAAACTCTATATCAAAGCTGTTGTACAGCTAACATCAAATTCTCATTTTAATATTGAAAGCACTGCAATGTGACAAAAATTTTCAAGATAGTATTTATGGGCACAGTTTTGTTTAAGACTTTTTTTGTGCTAGTTTTTCAATTAGTGACATTAAATCCATGTGTTAACTCTTAATATGACTCCGATTTTTATTCTTGGGGAGAATATTCTCTTACTTGTCTTGTGTTTACCCATAAAATTATAAGTTAAATATTTATTTCTTGATTTAAATTCAAAATTTTTCTTGTAATAATATAAGAACAAAGGCAATTACAAAAGATGTATTGTCTTTCATTAATGCATCATGTAGGGATAATATGGACCGATATTGTGATCTATGTTTTCAGGATGCTTCTAAGAAGGAAATGAATATTTATAAGAAGAAAACAATAGACATAACCTGTAAAGTAAATACATATCATACACTTATATACTTCGATGACCAATTGTTCATATCTTTAATATTTAGCAGTGTTTTGATCTTGTATATTATGTTTTTGTGAAGTTGTGTTTGAAAATCAATATTTTAACCCTATTAAAACAGCTTGATATACTCTTCATCTTTACTGTCAAGAACCTGTTGCCACACAGAAACCAAAGTATTGGACACTGTTACCCACAGAAACCAAAGTATTGGACACTGTTACGCACAGAAACCAAATTATTGGACACTGTTACCCACAGTAACCAAAGCATTGGACACTGTTACCCACAGAAACCAAAGTATTGGACACTGTTACCCACAGAAACCAAAGTATAGGGCCCTGTTACCCACAGAAACCAAAGCACTGGACACTGCTACCCACAGAAACAAAAGTATAGGGCCCTGTTACCCACAGAAACGAAAGTATTGGACACTGTTACCAACAGAAACCAAAGCATTGGACACTGTTACCCACAGAAACCAAAGCATTGGACACTGTTACCCACAGAAACCAAAGTATTGGACACTGTTGCCAACAGAAACCAAAGTACAAATGTATAGAGCACAGAGACATATACAATACAAATTAAGTTAGATAAACCCAAAATCACAATATGTAGGGAGCTTGTCCAGATTATCATTTTTGGTATTTCAAATATCAGAAGCTGGTTATTTTGGAATTAAGCCGAAAAACCCCAGAATATGGATTTATAATGATAATTTAATGTATAATTGCTAAGCTAGTATAAAGTAAGTCTCATAACTATCCCACAAAGGCTCTCAAGCGATTGACTTTTTCACGTCACAAATGTACAAAAAGATAGTTTGCCAAGCAAGTAACACTACAAACATACACCCACTACCAGCTATCAGAAATGATAAAATTTTTTTAGTGGCATGATTATGAATTTTCAAATAATGTTTAAAATATTTATAAGTCATGGCAAAACCTCATAACAGTTCATCAAATTATCATCAAATTCAAACATGAACAAGGTCTCATCGACGTAAACACAAGGGCAATAACTCTGAAACTGTTCATCAAAATAAAACTAATATCGAAATAGACCAAGATCTCATCAATTTATACATACATACCAAGTTCGTCAAGATTGGATCAAAACTGTAGTCTCTACTGCTGAGAACCATTGAAATTTTATGATTTTGGTAGTTAAAATATACACATACAGAAGCAGTAGGTATTTTTTGTATATGATTACAACTTTGATTGCAAACAGTGAGTTCACCAAAACGCCTTTAGATTTTGTTATAAATTTTTCAAAATACGATACAGCCTATATAATTCGGCACGTACGTTCACTTTATGCAACAACAACAAAATATTTTATTATTCAAATTTAATAAAAAGAATAAATATCATATATATATATATATCAATTTCAATACACAACTAACACTATTTCATCATTTTTGATATTCAAACTTAACAAATATAGTCAAGTATATAAAATCATATTAACAATGTGGTAGAAGAGTAGTTCCATAGTTTGCCATGACATCTGGTAAAAAGATATTTTTAGGCAGGTCATTGTATAAAGAATATATTTCTCTTAAAGGTTAACTCTGAAGAATAAGACTTTTTGTTGGCTACTTTATAATACCTATATATTTCTAAGAATGAAAATATGGACCTTCAAATTTTAAAGCAAACCCTGCTAGTCTATAAAAACTCTTTTTAATATCTTAATACATGTTCATGTTCAAACAGAAACAAACATGTTCAGTAAAACATAACAGAACAAATATACAGAATAAATATGGCATGTAACAAAGATTTATTTTAACTTTATTATTTTATACTTTACATAAGCCAATTATCAGCCTTATATCACAATATGATGATCTGTAGTTTCAAACTAAATGAACAGAAAATGATAAATTTTCCATATACCATAGAATGATGCACTATTTGAATATTAATATAACACAACAAGGCCAGAAAACTCTTTAATCATTATTACTCATATCATACAAGTAAACAATTCTTTTCAAGCAAGATGGAATGCTTAGCAATAATAAGTACTTATAATAAGACCCTAAAAAAATAACAAAATAGAAACAATCAAAAAAGGTTCATTTAAAGGGATTTTAAATCCATGATAATGAAATGCAGCAGGACATTAGATCAATTTTATAGTTTAATTTCATAGAAATAGGTACCGGTATTTATTTTTCTTAAGTAAAATTGCAGGCCAAATATAATTCAGCAATTTTATCACACTTTATATATATATTGTCTAAATATGTGCTTTACCAGATGAATTTAAATCTATTGTGTGATTCTCCTACAATTAAAAAAAAACTTCACTCAAAAATGTCAGTGGAATTAACAGTCTCTTAGTCTAAATTGTGTCAGTATCTTTAGACATCAAATTATATTAATCAAAACTGCTATGGATAGCTGAAATTGAGTTCTATCAGCTGATGAAGCAAATATCGCACTGACTAACTAACTTTTATATCACATCAACATCAACAAAACATAGGCAAAATATGTTATTATAATCTACTATCATATCTGATGAAAACAATCCTTACCACATCATACAATTATATCAGATATTGCATCACATAATTATCACACTTTATGTGATTCTACCAGTACCTTTATCATATCTTTAAGCCAGCAGCATCACACATACAACACAAAACTCAACTGCATTACATTTTCATTGCATATTGCATATAATAGAACATATCACACATTAAGACTAATAAAACATTAAAATCAGCATTCCTCAAGCCACACTTTCATCACATATTCCAGACACAACTTGTAATCATTCAAATACATCATACACTATGATCAAGGCTCCATTACACACTTAAATGAGAGTCACACCAGCAATTGTGATCATCTGGGGTAGTTGGTGAAACAGTCAAATTGGTTTGATATTTATCTATAGGTGAAGTATAGTCCACTGATATAAACTGACCATTTTCTAGAACTTGTATTTTAAAATGTATTATATTCTTGTCTTGTATCTAAAATTACAAACATGGCTAAATTTTTATTAGCATTTAATGATAACCTTGCAAAGACAACCCCTAATGCAACCTGAAGAGAAAGCAGATGATATTCGGCAGTCCAGAATTAAAATTTTGGAATACCACCAAAAGAAACAGGGATGGAGTGTAGATAGGAAATATGTATACCAAAATTCTGTCGTTTATTTAAGAAATTACCTTTTCAGTTTATTGATGTGTACACTGTATAATTCTGCGTAACGGTTTATACATAAGTGTACACAGGTTTTTTCTGATTATACATTAATAAACTAAAAAAATGTTCAGGTCATTCCTTATAATTAAATCAACTCAAATACTAGTTTCAATATTTATTTAATATAACGACAACTTAAGGAACTAAAATTGGCGCATAAACATTTTAACTTAACGCTAATGAACTGATACCTACAATACATACGCCCAGATATATACTGAATGCATGCGGCTGCTGTTATCCAATCAAATTGTGTGATACTATATAAACGAAATCGTGATTTAATTATTTATCATGTAGAATGGGCATGAAATAGGGTCTTACGCACAGACATTACAGTGAAACTCTACAAAAGCTAATCATACCTTCTGTATAATAGGAGAGGCATCAAATAGTTCTTTCCAATCTTTTATTGTAGGTGATGCTTTCACTGAACATATCAACATCTCATCTTCATCATAGAAATTTAATTTAGCAGTACCATTAGGTTCTGAAAATAAATTTAAATGTAATAAAAATGCATTCATGTTCACAATCAATTAGACATGAATATTGTTTGAGTAAATATTTACCATGAATATTGTTGGAATAAATAGTTACTTTGTTGGAATAAATATTTACCATGAATATTGTTTGAGTAAATATTTACCATGAATATTGTTTGAGTCAATATTTACCATGAATACTGTTTGAGTAAATATTTCCAATGAATACTGTTTGAGTAAATACTTACCATGAATATTGTTGGAATAAATACTTACATTGTTGGAGTAAATATTTACCATGAATATTGTATGAGTAAATATTTACCATGAATATTGTTAGAGTAAATATTTACCATGAATATTGTTGGAGTAAATATTTACCACGGATATTGTTTGAGTCAATATTTACCATGAATATTGTTTGAGTAAATACTTACCACAAATATTGTTGGAGTAAATACTTACCATGAATGTTGTTGGGAGTAATATTTACCATGAATGTTGTTGGAATAAATACTTGCTATGTATATTATTTGAGTAATATTTACCATGAATATTGTTTGATTCAATATTTACTACCATGAATATTGTTTGATTCAATATTTACTACCATGAATACTGTTTGAGTAAATATTTACCATGAATATTATTTGAGTAAAAATTTACCATAAATTATTTTTTCAGTAAATATTTACCATGAATATTGTTGGAGTAAATACTTACCATGAATTGTTTGAGTAAATGTTTACCACTTTAATCGTTTAAGTAAATATCTACTATGAATATTGATAAACTATTGACTTTCATTCGCTTTCTGCTACTTACTGTCATTCCTTATTTTGTATACCTTGACATGCCAACTTGCGTATGCGCATTGTTATGATTTTATGATATGGCGCTGGATATGAGCCTGAATAAATGTGTGAACTATAAAGTGTTTTTAGTTAAATTTAACAAATATTGTTTGAGTAAATATTTAACATGAATAAGTAAACATTTACCATGAATATTGTTGAAGTAATATTGATTAAATAATGTTTGAGTAAATACTTACCATGAATATTGTTTTGTAAACTCTGTGCAATCAACTTTTGTTGCTCAAGCAATCCAATATCACTCTCTCCTAGCTCTGTAGTTCTTTCGTCCTAGGAAATATTATTCATATATTTCATGATAGAAAATAAAGAAATCATTGCATATATTTATAAAATATGAAAAAAACAAGGCTAAAAAAGAAATCTTAGAGAAAATCATAAATCATTGTCTGAAAAAACATCTTATTAAGCATGAATACAAGTTTTGATAATGTCTTATTATGTAACCTGTATTAATATAAGCTTGTGGACGCGAACATGAGATTTGTGCTATCTAAAAAAAATTGATAGAAATAAGGTCATGTAAACAAACCGCTGCTGAAGATATAAAAATAAATTCCAAAGTAAGGTTTGATTTATTCTCGTTTTCAATTCTTTACTGAAATTTTTCTCAATTCCATATCGTTCATATAAATCAAATCATTTAATGACATACGTCTTGTTTACGTTTGCAAACATAATGAGCGATTTGTTCTGATTGGCTTAAATTTTACTTCCAATAAAGCAAGGCCAATTTTGATAGAACAATATATAGCTATAAGATAGCCTGCCAGGCAAGGTAATATACGCCCACTGGCAGCTTTGATTTTGAATAAAAATATTTAGCAGTACAGTAACAATCACCAGTATGACATATTCAACCTTCAGTCATACACTTCTTTTGAACTCTTTAGGGCGATACTGAATAATATTGAGTATGAGTTATTGCCCTTGTTCTTGAAAACGTGTTCAATTTTTAGCTCGTGGAAACTCTGGAAGGCAAATATTCAACCTTCAGCGTGATACTGAATAATAAAACCAAGTTTTGTAAAAATGTGGCAGGAATCATGCCTTTTAGTGTTTAAGAGCTAAAATTTGAAAGCGTTTTCAAGAAAGAGGTCATTAACTCCAAAGAAACATTTTTCGATTTTTTTTTATTTTTGATAGGGTTCATCCTTGGGTGATAATAAACAATTTCACCAAGTTTCGTCACAATCTGTCAAGAATTGTGCCTTCTAGTGTTTACGAGCCCATGTTTTCAAGAACAAGGGCAATAACTTATTCAAAATATTTTTCGATTCTTCGAATAGGGTTCATCCTTGGATCATTACAAACACTTACGCCAAGTTTTGTCAATATCTGTCAAGAATTGTGTCTTGTACAGTGTTTACAAGCAATTGTGGACGGTAGACGGATATGGATGACGGCAATATACGCCCCCTATACCCATTTATTGTTGACGTATAAAAATGATGCTTATTAAGTGACTAAAAACTTCAATTCAAAATTTTTTAGTGTAAATCTTACTTGCTCTGGGAAATCAGTGTCTGCAGTATATTTCAATTGTTGAAGTAATTTGTCTACAAAAAAAATTATTTTTTTTTACTGGTAATCTAACAAGCAGAGATCAGCTATCAGTCATACCTCTGTCAGAATCAAAACCGGATGTCAAGATATGAGAACAACATTCAGAGTATGTAATATTATGGAATAAGCTCATTTCTTTAAAAAATAAAAATTAAGAACATTTTATTTAAGAAGTGTGTTTATTCCATAATATTATGTTTGTGATATCAGTCATATCTCTTATCAAAAACTGGACCATGGAATTTTAGTCTGACATCACAGCCAAGGCAATATCAACATGTTATACCAGATGATATAAAAATATCAGTGATATCTGTATGTTTAAAATTCAGTAATAACCTGAAGTCTAACCTGTCTAACCTTCCATGGTAAGTTTTGACTATATACAGATACCAGACTTTCATTCTGTCATACCTAGCTTAAATCAAGCTTATAGACTATATAGAGACTATATTCATTCAAGTTGAGTTTAATGTCCTATTGGTCTACATTAATGTCATATTGAGAGATTAAAATAAGTATCACCACACCTCTTTCTTCATCGTATTCTGAACTTCTAGTAGATGCTGAAATATTGGAGGTTGATGACCTTGCTGGTGAAGATCCCCACAAACCACTCTCACCAGCCATTCTAGGTTCGGCTGTTTTCGAGCTATTCTTTCTATTAGGACTCACTTGAGCACCAATAGGAGCAGATTTAAAAGTATCTTGTGCAAAATTTGCAACAATAAGATGGTGGGCTGGCTGGTTTATATTAATATGCAGAGAGGATTTGTGTTTTATTTGTGGCGACCTTTGTGGTTTCTCGTTACTTGATGTGTTGTTCGGATTTCCTGTCTGCTGAGCTACAGTAACTATTGGTTGTGATATACTGACTTCAGCTTTATTTGGTAGTTTGGCTCCAAAATGGTTTGACTGACCAGACACACTCAAATTATTATTCATGTGTTCTTTAGAAAATATTGGTAGATTTGGCAAAAGAGTTTCTGAACCTTTTGAAGTGGATGGGCTTGTCTCATCTTCTCTATATTCATTTAATGGTGCTTTTTGAAGCATATCTAGGTTTGGCTGTACACTGTCATTCAGGAAATTTGCATAAAGTTCTTCAACAGATGAAGTTTCTGAACTCTCCAATGCAGTAGAATGCATTGGTGTATTATTTTCTGGAGCTACATTCAACCTGTTGTGAAGCTCAGATATACTGGGAGGAAAAATATTATTTGAAAAATGACTGATGCTTGTCTGTGGGGATGAATTGGTTGTCCTTAATTTATCGTGGAGCTCACTGAAAGATGAATTAGTGTATGTTTGAGTACACGGATCAACATTGCACAGTTCATTAGGAGCACATAAACAAGATTTAAAAGTTGTAGATGTTTTGGATGAGTATATTTCTGGGACGCTATGACTTGATTTAAGATTGGATCCATTGTAAGTAGAATTCTGCTTATTTCCATTAAGATTTTCAGCATGGTTATCATGTCCTTGATCATCCAATCCTACGCTTTTAATTTCAAGTAATGAAAATTTGGGGCATGTTAAACTATTATTATTTGTCTGTTCTTCAAAAGAAATTTTTTCCAAAATTGAAAGCTTGGGTAAATCATTAGAAGTTAGTTTATTAAGATTAGCAGAGGGCATTTCTGTTAGTCTGGCTGATGCCTCCACAATTTCAGGTTTGATTCGGAACTGTAGAGATACCTCGGACGGGGTTCCTGTAGCCAGTGATGAAGTTTGAGGTTCATTCTTACCAGGAACAACAAATGTCTGTTTCAGCATCACATTGCTTGTTCTGATATTATTGTGACTTTCTAAAATAGTTTGTGATTGTGGTGTTGCTCCAACCTCAAATCCAGCAGTCTTCATCAAACTTTTCCTACACTCAACACTTTCACTATTACTATTAATATTATTAAAATTTCCATCCTTTCCTCCATTAGATTTAACCATTGGAAAATATATTTCATTCAATCCTGGAGCAGCATATGTAGTTTGATTCATAACAGCTCTAGCAACATCTATTTTCTGGGTCATGACTGAAACAGAACCGGACGTGACAACAGAACTGATAGTTTGTGAATTAACTTGGACTGTGTTCACTGAACCTTCAGAATTTTGCTGTTGTTTTTCAGCTTCATCAATTTTTAGTTGAAGGTTTTGTACGATGGCATTAAGCTCATCTGGATTACTTGAAGCAGGTGCTAAAGGTGGTCTTTCTGTTAACAATGAAAAATATCTTTCTGGAATTTCCTGAGCTACAAAAGAAACAAAGAAATTTTGAAATAGTAAACACTTCTGATACTGCAACTACAAAAAGAGTCAAAACGATGTGACAATCATCCTTTCAATCCTTTCATTAAAAAAATGAAACATCTACAAACCTGTATGTGTGAAGATTGGATGAGCTAATAACTGTTCTGCTGTTGGACGATCAGTATCAGATCGTGTGAATCCATGACGTATAAAATCTTTCATATCACTTCGTACACTATCTGGTACATCTTCTAATGGTGGAGATTTCTCATAGATCTGAACAAGAACATGATAAAGAATATCAGTATTTATAAGAACATGAACGTTTGAAATGTGCTATAACATGAAAGTTAAACTCATTTTGTGAGCATAGCATTCCCTGTCTGGCACCACTACCACCATTGCTACTCAATATCTCACAAAGGTAGGAAGGTAAAAGCAAAAAAGGTATATTTTAAACTTACAATAAAATGAAGCATAGCCGCAGAGTGGAATCGTTTCATCCAGGGTGGATCCCCACTCATCATATGTACCAGAACACAGATAGCAGCCCACACTTCTGATGGGAAACCATGACCATCACTAGCAGCTTTCTCTGGACTCCATTGAGTAGATGTTCCGGCTGGACTTTGACCTTTAAAATCTTTCTTTTGGTTGATATATCTTGCTAAACCAAAATCACAGACAGCAATAGATGTACTTCCTGCTCGCAGTAAAATGTTGTCACCTTCAAAATAAAAAAACTGTGACATTTAGCAATATCCTGTCCAGACATCAGTAATTTAAATCTTTAAGGGAACTGTAACTTAATCCTTTCTCAGTATATGGGTTTATGTAGAGTCATTTTCACTTACTTATTTAAATGAAAGTTCATATGCACTCAAATATGATACTAAATTGTCAAAGAAATAAACCATCACAATCAATTGTAGCAGGTTCAAACCAATTAGGATAACATTTAAAGCAAGATGTTTCTTTGACCTCTATTCTATGTTACTTACATTTAATGTCTTCATGAAGGATACCTCTTGATTGTAAATATCTCAAAACTTCCAATAATTGACGTAAATAAGTTAAGGCCATCACATGACTAATTCTACGATTTAGACGTTTCTGTGCGTTAATACAATCTGTTAAACTGCCACCTGGAGTTGAAACAAAAGAAATTGATGGTCCACATCTAAATTTCTACTCATAAGAAAGCTTACTACTCATAAGTTAACCTCACAGGAGCTCTGACTTAAAGGGATATCATTATGATTTATAAGGGATCAATTTCCATGGATTCCTGCACAGAGATTTGATAATTTTTCTACATAAATATTCAAAATAGGATGTCATGTTTCATGAACAATAAAGCTGCTTAGGTCAAATCTACAGAATATAAATATAACATCAAAAGTTTCATCAAACTCGGTGTAAGCTTTATATTACATTCCAGTAATTATTTCTGCAAACATGTGGGCAGAAGGTTCACAAACAGAAAGTATTATAAAAAGACTAACATACCATCAATAAACTCAGCTAATATATAGATTTTTTCACCACGTCTTAGGGCACCAAACAAATGTACAATATTATCATGCTTTAAATCACACCAAATCTTTAGTTCCTGTTCTTCATAACGGTGTATTATCAACTAGAATAGACGGTATAAATGTTATTGTGCCAGTAATATCTGAAACCTTCTTGGGCAAGAACTCAGTTGTTTTGTGAATATGATTTATGCTTTTGCTTTTGATCATCAAAAGTGTGGACAAACAGCTTAGTTGAAAACTAAAACCCTTTTAAAGACATTTACCGTGTCAAGTAAAGAGATAATGCAAGGTTTTTAATAGTACTTACCCTTTTGACACAAAATTGAAAATCAGTGTTCAAATCCTTGGCTAAATGACATTGTCCTGCAGCTCCATTGCCAAGATGTGTTAATCTCTCCCACTGATAATGCTTCTGATACAATGTTCTTAAAATTTTGAGTTGTTTCTAAAAATAAAAGTGTGTTTAAAAGAAACTTATAAAATTCATACTAAATATTTCAAGTACATGTTAAAAATATATAAAATAGTGAATCACATCCAAACACACCCCTTTCTGAATGCAGTTGATGAAACAACTATAAAATAATTTACCTTATATTTAGACAGGATAACACCCTCCTCTCTTTTCTGTTGTGGTAAAGTTGTAGTGTCCTTCAATGTGTTTTTTAACTTGCTCCAGTAGTGGGCAACCAATCTCAACTGCTCTCTAGTACCATACACTACTTCTCCTACACCTGGTTGTCCTACAGGTCGCATTTCTAGAGAACAAAACTGGTCCCCACCTCGATAAGATGGATCCATAGGTAAGCTTGTCACTCGTGACTCTCCATACGTTTTTTGAGTGTCACAAGAATCTTGGGTTGCATTGTATTCTTTTAAATTTCGTTTGACTTGTGGCGGCAGTCCTACATCAATCTCATTTGGTATTTCTAGTAGTTTTCTGTCTTCATTAGATTGATTAGATTTCATACTATTGTTTGAACTAGATTTAAAATCTTCCACAATCTGTGTTTCTGGAAGTTCACACAATTTTGATTCCCCTGATGACATTCTTGATACTTTTCTTCTCAGAGAATCCTTTGGTTTAGCTCCTATTCCATAGAAGCTTTCAGCAATAGGTGTGACTGTTGTTGTACTGTTTGGGTCAAACATTGGAAGCACTGTTGGTGTGAAAATAGAGGAAATGTCAGAAGTATTATCTCTTAAGTCTAAGATATGACCCTCTAAATCCCCATTGTTTTTCTCAATAGAATTATTTCCTTTTGAGAATTCAGACTGTGATACAATTTTGTAACCAGCATCACCATATAATTGTTCCATTTCCTCCAATTCATGGAAGTTTGATTGATTCCTATCACCAAACAGGTCAGATTCGTTGATTTCATTTGCATTTAAGTGAGAAAATTGTTCTTTTTTCAACACTTGTGATAAAGATTCAGAATTTGGGACTGCCTCAATTTCGGCCAGCAATTTCTTAGAACGAACCCAAAACATATGAGATTTTTCATCAAAATTTTCGAAATCCATGGCTTCTAAAAGAACATAACAAATGTCTGATGTTGACTCTTTCTTCCTTGCCTTATCATTTTGACAGAATCCAACATGACCTTGAAGCAGACGAAACAATTGTAAACAAACAGAGCAAGAAGTTGTTTTCTGGATGCAATTGGCAAAATGGTGTACCAGAGCCTTTATGATGCAGCAGATTTGACAAGATGATTGAGTTGTTATGGTAATATCATATGGTATTAGTTGGTGAAAACAGGTTGTAAGGCACATATTCACATTACTTATGAGCTGGCAGTAGAAATCTTCAGCAGGCAAATCAATTTTAGACTGAAAAAATACAATGTTTTTAATTCATATACTGAAAAAAGTCTGGCATGTTAATTGTACTTTTATACCATCATATATACGTTTACTTTTTATGTTCCTAATATAACCTTGAGAAATCAAGACTAGATATGTTTAGACATATGTGCTGGATTTGCTTCTTTTTTTGAATGTCCAAATCACCATATAAAACATCGAAACACAATTAATTTGTATCCAATCTTCATTATTGAAGTTAAATAAACTCAATATTCTTTTCACAGTGAAGGCCTAGGTTTAAAACAAATCTTAATCATACTTCTATTCTCTTTGACCAGGGACCTCTGACTACAAACTACTTACAAAATATCCAAGTGATTCAATGAAGCTCATCAATGATACAACTGAGTGCTGTTCTGATACTGCTGAAATTTCCATTGGGAAATTTGCAGCCATTCTTGAGAACCTTAGCTTTGGGAGGCTTGTCAATAGAATATTTCGATTATTGACACCACTGGCAGTAACATGTCATCAACCTAGAAAAAAAATTGTGGGTTTGTCAAGTCTAAATGACTTAAAGATCCACTAGGTAGATTCATGAAAAGGACTTTGTATGTACATCTATAATGATTTCTATCAGCTCAAGACTCTAGAAAGCTGCCAAAACTTTATGCAGGATTTGAATGAGGATATAATAATAGACAGTATTACAGATCTGTTCATTATGTTGTAATACTTTATTATAAGGAAGTGACTATTGTTACAGTAGTCTACTATCAAACAACAGATAACTGAGTCTGCATCTAACTAAAGATTTTTATTTTCAAATTATGACACTGTAAAAGGATGACTTGGTTGGGGCATATGCAATGGTTGACCATCGTCCGAAACATCTGCCTCTATTCCAGCCTCTGATGAATATTTTGACAGCTGTTGGCTGGAGTAGAGTCAGAACAAAAAGGTCCTGTTAAATGGGGATTTTTCACACCTCCAGAGATGCGTTTTTTCTCACATAATATTAATTACCTTTACAATGACTCTAAATAAGTGTTGGGCATTACTGTGAGTCTGTGACATTGACCTTTTGGCTGCGCATTCAATTTTAACCGGCCGATGCGAGATCAGTTTTGTTAAAAAATACTTTTATGGAACCAAAGACGTGACATAAATGGTGTATGGAGAAAATGATGGTACGACTGAACTTCAAAAATATTCATCTCTCCAAATTAGTCCAGCCATGTTATTGTAATTTTTTAAGTTGATAAAAAAGAAATTGAATTGACTGCCATTTTCAATTGGAACATATGTTTAATTTGAAATTGTAGATTACGCAATTGTCCGAAACAAAATATTACGTCTGGGGAGATGCGGAATGTCCCTATGTAACGGGCCTATTTTTTCTGTCTCTAAAGACTACACTAGTTGACATCTGTCCAAATAGCTATCAAAGACTGTAACAGACTGTAGAGACAGATGTCTAGGATGACCATAGGGTCTTTATTAGGATTAGCTTTAGGTTTTTAACAGTGTTAAAAGGCTATATTCTGTGCCTATCTATTTTAGGTATTATTAATATCATCATTATAATTATAATAAATAGCCTAATCATTTTTATAAAAAAAAAAGTCTAAAATAAAACTTACACTAACAAAATGCAGTTTAATATTTAGTCAAATCATTAGAGCTAGTTAGATAAAATGACTAGACTAGGTGTCTTTCTCCTCCTTATTAGTTAAACGTCTATAAAATTCCAAGTAGTTGCAGTTTCATGTCGGAAGTTTTTTAATGACTCATGTTTTGATTAAGAATTATCTTCTCTTGATATGGAAATTAATCGAGTTACCCCCCTTAAAAGTTTCAGACAACAAAGGCTATTGTATCGAAATCAGCAGAGCCGTATATAGAGAGAGTCTGGCCAACTACGTCACAAGGCGCCATCTTGTTACCCTCTCTTAGCTACAAGACGGCCGACGTTATCCCTCGTAAACGCTCTAGAATTTACAGTTTTTAACCGATTTTGATAAAATTTGGTATGTCTATACAAAAACACAAAAAGAAGATAATTTTTGAATTTTAGCACTTTCCAAATATTAACCTCCGAAATATTAAACCTGTAATCTTCCATATTAAAATAGCTAGGGCCTAGCTGTATATTCTACAACTATATGGAACAATAGGCTAATCACTAGTTATAGTTTATGCAACATATTGATAAGTAATATAATGTATAATATAATTCATATTGTTTTTGATCAATAGGCCCATGTGCCTGACGACTGTCAAAACGGTGCATAAACTATAACCAATGATTGTTGTTACATAAAGCTTTAGAATATAGTGAAGTTAGTATAATGGACTGAACTCGATTTTTGCCGAAGAAATTTAGTCATATGAATGTTATCAACAGAAACAGGCCCGTAACCAGCCCAATGTGCCAAGGGGGGCGAACGCATTTGAACGGAGGCTGAAATAGCACAATTTATTATGTCATGAAGGCACGGAAGTTATATCACACCACTCAATAATCGTCATTTCAGCTTTGAAACCATGGCCCTCATAGCAACAGATTTGCTGCCAAGTTTCCCATCAACATTCAAGTTTGCTTCAGCCTTGGAAGATCGTTTCCTGTTTTCCTTTCTAGCCAAAATGTACAATCGAACATTAAAAAATTTAGTCAACAGTTTGGTGCGCATGTGATGGCAATCCGGAATATGATCATCAGTGAGGACTGTTTCAGCGGAGTTTATCAATCTCTCTACCAAGTTGTAACCCTGTAGACGACCGCTTTCCTCTGCATTCCTGAATAATGACTCGGCAGTCTGCATCAGTTCCATGGTGGTTTGAGAGATGAAAGTGAGACAACCGGGAACAAACTCTTTCAACTTTGTGAATGCAACTTCGCTATAATTTGAAAGCGCACGGTCTGGATCCTCAACTGACTTCAAACAAATCTCACAATGGGTTCCTCGCTTTTTAATGGAATGAAGGCAATATCCACCCAGATGGTACAAGCTGGCTTCCTCTGACGTACTGAGCGAGCTTAGCTCCAATATTTCATCCGGGATCATTTCGTCGTCAACATCGTCACTGGATCTCTGAGGTTTTTGTAAGAAATCGGCTAAGAATTCTCTGTCATCCTCCTGATAACTACTGCCAGAGGGACATCTCATATATTGGGCTGTAGAAATTATTTTCAGCGACTGACGAAATTTTGCTGCGGTTGGAATAGGATTATTTGCCCGCACCGAACTGAATAAGTTCTCTAAGCAGTCCTGAGTAAAACGACTGGTAAGGACAAAGATATGACCCCTGTTTAAATAATCTTCTGCTAATTCCAGAATTGAGGTCAATGAAAGAATAATTCCAGTTTGCCATGGCTTCCAGTGGCCACACTTCAAATTTGTGAACACATCAACTGCCTCTGTTAAGTGGTTCGTAGCACGATCATATGCATCCATATTGTTCTTACTGAGAGCCATCACTGGGTGGCGGCTTGACATGAGATCAAACCATTTGTCCATAAACTCCACAAACCAAGCAGTTGTCAGTAGCTGTCTATCATATCCTTCATGTTCGACTAAATATCGGAGTCCAGCACTAACAGGTTTACTAAAAAAGTTCACGGCGGCCGAAACCTTCATTTTCTGGAAATGTGAATCATTGATCTTTTCACTTGTCAGATTCGGGGCTAATTTTAAATCATCTTTATCTTGAAAGTCTATGAGACTTTTTAAGGCAGACAAACTCACAGTTGATGAAGGTAGATCATGTTTTTTAACTGTTTCTGCACTGAGGTGAAACTCTCGATTATTTACCAATGCTGCTTTAACGTTTTTGATCAGATGAGGAACATCATGCATGAAGTATAATTTTCTATCACCGGTCACCGGGTGTTCAATGCTGTTTACTGTTTGAGCATACTTCCCACACGCAATCCCAAAGCTGCTCATCATTGCCCTGTTGGATGATCCCATATAACAGGTCACAGTGCTGACATGTAAACCAATAGCGTGTGCCTTCTTAAGTATCTGTAGTACAATTGGTTTCAATGCATTGCCATCAACAGTATTACCAGTGAAATGATACGCAACTGTCTGCTTCCATCTAGTAGAAATACCGGCTAACATAAAAACTAGTGCATGTGTTGCTGTACCACTGTGATTTCGCAGTCACATCCCCGCAGAAACAACTGCCACCTTTATCAAACTGGTATCCGGCCTTCAATGCAATTTCATCCAACGTTAGGCAGCATTCGCGTTCCTTCTCCTGCATTGACTGAATTTTCAACCGCAAAAGTTCGAATGTTTCGTCAAGAATTCCAGGCTCCATTGAAATACACTCCATCTTTCTTCGTAGGGATCGCAAAGATGGTATTGGCTGACCTTGCTTGATTAATTCCTCATATTCTGTAGTTCCACAGGCGAATCGCATTTTCAGAGCCTTTTTGTACGTATCATCAGACCATTTGCATCCTCTTGTTGATTGTTTTGCCATCTTGACCAACTGATCAGCATTGAAGACCTTCTTTAATTTTCTTTGAAAGCTTTTCTTTTCATTGATGGCTTTTCTGTTTTGCATCTGTTCATTGCGCAGTTTTGTCCGTAAAGAAATAACTTCCTGCTCTAATGATTGTATCCTCTTTGTTCCAGCTTCCACATTAATTGATTCAGACATGTTTATATCACATGTAGTTCCGTATTCTTTAGTATCATTGTCTGACTCCGATTCGTTTATCATCGGATTCTGAGAACAGTATGAATGTTCATCTATGTAGGATTTACTTGCTGGTTGTTGATTAATAAGCGTGTGTCGAGCAGATGGTGGTTTCCTCTGAGGTAGTTTCCATGGGTTGTGAGGGAAAATGTTTGGCACAGCATTTTGCTTCAGCTGGCGGCTGTTGTCCTGGCGATCTGTTTCTCTTTGACTGTCGTCGAAGTGATTCTGAAAGAGAAACCAAAATTTACACAAGTGACTAGCCCAAAAGACTTAGTGTTCTCATTATAGTCTACACCCACAGTCTACATTGTCCTTCCATATTTTTTCTGCGAATGTCACTAATGAAATAACATAAACAATGGTGGCGTTTCATTTGATCTGTAAAGGGGGTGGGGTGATACTAATAGGCATTTAGGAAATCAATGAGGGGGTGAGGGGGGGGGGGGGGTGAAAATCCGGACCAGCACAAATTTTAGGAGCCATGGCCCCTTGCCTCACCGTACAAGCACCAATATGGCGCACACCTTTAAATTATACTGTTTGTTTTGGTGATTGGAAGTAAATAATACTAAATAAGTAAATATAGTCTAGCCTAGGCTAGGTTAATGCGATCTCAGTCGCATCAAAATAAAATTATTTTTGTTTACATTGTTATGTTGTGCTCATTTATGGCCAAGGTTAGCTTTGTGGCGAAAAGGCTTTCGTGGGTTTAACCCGTAGAATTGAGTAGAATTAGAGTA